TTGTGAAATTAAAAAAAATAAAAATAAAATAGAAAATTTTTTTAAAAATAATTTTGTGAATTTTTTAAATTTCGTCTTTTGTTTAAAAACATCAGAAATGAAAAAAATTTTTGAAAATTTTCCGCAAGAAAAAAAAAAAACGTGGGAGTAACGATTATCGCCATTAATAAATTAAATTACTCCCACGGTAATAAAATCAAATATATAAATCGACGACGATTACAGTTAAATAATAATTTTTTTTTTTCCAGTGGTTCGACGCAAAAAATTTCCGTTATTATCGATTACCTTCTTCCCTCTCTCTCCCTTTCTCTGTCCCCTCGCCCCCCCCCGGAAAAAAAACTGTCCCTTAATTTTTTTTTATTTTTATTTCGGCCCCGACATTTTTCATTTAAAAAAAAGTGACTTAAACAGATTGAAAATGATTTAAAGAAAAATAAATGCAAAATGACAAGGGATAAGTTTTTTTAAATAAATCGTTGTTATTATCATTTCGATGTCGTGTAAGCAGAAAACAAAGTGCCTCTCGTGCCCACAAGGAAAAAAAAAATTATCTTATTGATTTTAATATGTTAACGAAAAGGTAAAATTATTCCGGGAGGGGGGGTGGAAGGTGGGAGAAAAAAAAACATTTTTGATGTTTTCAATATTCCTATAAAAAAAAAATTTATCTGCTGACACTTTATAAATTTTTAATTTAAAAAAATTTGCTTTTTTTTTTTTTGGAATATTTTAATCGGTGGGAGTGGCGGGGAGAGGGGAAAGGGATGAAAGAATAAATAAAAATCAGTTGAAATTTTCGAGGTTTAAAGAAAATCATTTTTTCTGAAGAAATTTTGGAGAAAATTTTTATTTTTTTTAGGGGAGGCAACGTTTGGGATAATAATAAATTTAAAAATTCACCTAAAATAAAAACAATGAAAAAAAAAAAATTTCGTCTGCTTTAAAACCGTAAAACGCACTGGGAAAAAATAAAAAAATTTTTTTTTTTTTTTGGCTATTTCGCAGAGTCGATTTTTCAAAATTTGAATTTTTTGAGGGGAGGAGGGAGAAATGCGTAGAAACGAGAAGCAAAATAAAGAGAAAATAAATTTATTGACGTGGTTTTAGAGTTGAAAATTTTTATTTAATTTTTTCACGAAAAAAAAAAAGAAAAATTTTTTTTTAAGTGGTGAGTAAAAAAGAAAGAGAGAGAGAAAAAAATAAAAAGAATAAATTTTTCGAGTGTTAACTTATGTAAAAAACAAGTTACTTAAAATAAAAAAAAAACTATTTTATTTTATGTAAAAGTCGGGAGGCTGTTTGTTTGCTTGTTCGTTTGTTTTTTCTTTGTTGGAATTTTTCTCCGAAATTTATATACCGAAAATTATTTATTTATGGTGAAAATACATCCGTCGTAGGATTATCTTTTTTTTTTTTTCTAAACTTTTTATCAAACCGACGGAAAAATCCTTTTTCCAAAAAAAAAAAAATTATTCATTCGCAAAGATTTTCAAACTCGTCCTTTTTTTTCTTTTTTTTGTTAACCCCCGGGAAAAATGCATTTCCCATTAACCTCTCCACCCGGTAGCAGGGAGAGTGTGGGACCGGGTCGAAGCCACTACCCAACTAAAACTCTTTCCCGGAGGGAGGGCCACTCGTGGGAGTACAATCTACATTTGTGCTCGACTTCCTCCTGAGTCAGAATCATCAGGTTTACACTCGCGTGGGTGGAAATCCCACCTTGAGGAAGATCCCGGTACTTTCCCTTTTTACCCTTCGAGAGACATTTCCTCAATCTGTTACCATCGTTTCTGCCTCTTTCTCAGAGTGTGAGAGTTTCCAGAGAGAGAGAGAGAGAGAGAGAGAGAGAGAGAGAGAGTAGAGCGTCGCGAATCCCGTTAATCTTTTATCTGTCTTTCTTTACATCGCAGCTCCTCATTTTCCCTATTTGGATCAAGTACCCAGTCCCCCCCTTTTGAACAAGAGTCGACGCATTCCCCATGCCTCGAAAGGGAAATTCAATCCCAGAACCCCCCCTAAAACATCCTCTATACCTAGCCTCCGAGTAGTTGGATTACAAGAGTACACCACCCATTTCATACTCGTCCTGGAGAAAAATTTTTTTGGTTTTTTTCTACTTTTTTTTTTTTTAAATATTTTAATTATTTTTGACGTTTGCATGTGAGATAATTATTATTATCTCACTGGAAAATTTAAAATAAAAACATTTTGACCACGTGTACGTATTTTTTTTTTTAAATTGTTATCCAGTAACAACAACAACAAAAGAAAGAAAATTAATCATAAACGATGATAAATGATAAAATTAAAAATTAAAAATAATCGCGTCACGTAAAAAAAAAATTTTTTCATTTTTAAATGGCGGTTTCCGGTTTAAGTACGACCTTTTATTTTACGCAAGAAATGAAAAATTTATTAATAATAATAAAAACCAATTTAAAAACATTTGGAAAATTGTGAAATCGAACCGGAAATACCGAATTAATAATATTTAAAAACGACGAATTTTTCTCACCGGAAGTTGGCGATGGATTTTTTTTTTCAATGCGATCATCATCTCGTTTCTCTTTACAAGGAACGAATTATTTTTCATTTTTAAATTTAAATAAATAAAATCACGTGACTATAATTAATAACATACGAAATGAGGTCAATGAAACGTTGTTGTGTCATTTCCATGTATTAAAATTGCAACGTTTTAAATTTATATCGTCTGCTTTTTTTCTCCCTTTTTTTTATTCTTTTCAAATATCTTATTTCGAAAATTAATTTACTACAAAATGAAAAACTTGAAAAAGAAAAACGTCTTAAACATCTCCCCTCAAAAAAAAAAAAAAAATTTATGCGTACGATCGATAATATGATATCGATCGATTTATTTCGATTATTCCATTTTTTTCAATTTATTATTTAAATAATTAATTAATTACAATGATAAATTTTTTTGTCACGTTTTCCTCAGCATTTTCAATTTATTGATTTTTTTTCCTTTTTTTTTTTCCATATAATTTATATAATTTATTTTCGTAAAATTCGATATTATAAATTAATCAATGAATCGTGACGTCACGTGCTAATTTTTTTTTTAAATTTTATTTATCAGATTGTCAGCCGAGATTAATTGGAGTTTTTGGATGACGTCACAAATATTTTTTTTTATTTTGTTTTTACGTAATAATAATACTAAATTAGATGAGTCGTACTGGAAAATTTTTATTTTATTTTTTATTTCACGGGGAGAAAGGAGGATTCCCCATTTTGTGTTTTTTTTAAACAGTTTTAAATCGATAAAAAAAAAATTTTTTTGTCGACATTTTTATCACGTAAGCCTTGCAACAAAAAAAAAAACAAACGACAAACGTTCGCGATGTTTTTAACGTTTTGCCCGAAATCAAACCAAGTTTTCTCTCTCTCTCTTTCTCTCTCTCTCTCTTTCTTAATTTTCCGATGGCGTACTTTTTAAAACTTTTTAATAAGATTTTAAAACGTAAAAAAAAAAAAAAATTTTTTTCTACCGTCAAAACGCAAAACAAACGAGTTTTAAAAGTGTTTGTTTGTTACAAACAATGAATGATTAAGAGTAATAATTAAACTACTACTACTACCACTACTATTGGTTAAAATTAACCGAAACGTTAACCGACGTTTATTATATATATATTTTAAAATAATAATAATAATAATAATAATAATAATAATAATAATAATAATAATAATAATAATAAACAAAGGATAGAAAATAAAATAAATGAGAAAGAAGAAAGCGAGGTAAAGAGAGTAAAGGGTCTCCTCTGACTTAACAAGATTATTGTCAGATTTTGTTTCAGTCTCCTCGTGGTTGCGCGACGTAGCAGAACACATTTATTTATTTATTTATTTATTCATCGTTTTTAAATCGAATATTTTTTTTATTTTATTATTATTATTATTTTTTTCCTACTCGTGTTTATTTATTTATTTCATTAATAATAAATTATTTAAATAATAATAACAAAAATTAAATTAAATTTTTTTTTTTTTGGTTACATCCGACTCGGAAAAACAGAGAGGGAGAGAGAGAGAGAGAGAGTAAACGGTGGTTTTTAAACAAGTAACAAAATATTATTATTATTATTATTAATAGTTTGTTTAATCGAATTATTATTATTATTATTGTTGTTGTTGTTGTTGTTTATTACCGGATATAGTAAAGAAAAAAAAAATTTTTTTTTAATTTTTAAAACTCTTTTTGCTATTTTATAGTTTTATTTTTTTTATTACACGTGTATTTTTTTACACGTGGAACAAGACAAAAATTTATTCGCATTATTAATTATTTATGAGAATTTTTTTTTTTTTTTTATTTGACCGAACGTACTTTTTCGAACGTATTTTTGTCAACAATTTGTCATTTTATTTTATTTTTTTTTTCTATTTTTCACGTATTTCTTTCTACATTTTGTGGGAAGGGGGAGAAAACCCATAAATTTAATTTTTAACCTTTTTATCATCATTTTTTTATTTTTATTTAGTATTAAAAAAATTATTACGTATTTTTTTTTGTAAATATAAATCGAATCGATCGAACGTTATCGATTTATCGAATCGTTAGAGTTTGAAAAAAAAAAAAATTAAATTAAAAAGCGGTGATAAAATTTTTTTAATTTTTTAATTCCTTTTACGTAAAACTGCTTATTCTAGTTTTTGAATAGGCTTTTTAAACACAAACATACGTTCCCCCCCCCCCCTCAATTAATTTCTTTTTAAACCTGCCCCCTCTTTAAATAAAAAAAGAAAAAAGTTGATTCTTTAAAAACTAGTTCGCAAGAACAATTTGCACGAATTAAATTGATAATTTGCCATTTTCGGTGTGTGTGTGTGTGTGCGTGAAAAAATTTTTTTATACGTAAAACTAATTAAAAGAAATGTTTTTCGTTTTTCCGAATAAATAATAATAATAATAATAATAATAAAGTGAAAATAAGTTGCGTGTTGTGAAGTCGCCGTGGGTCGATGTAATGGTGATAAGAGGGGGGTCAATAATAAAAATAAAAACAACATTTGCGACAAGTTGGATAATAAAAATTTCGGTGAAGATGATTTGGACCCATTACCCCCCGAGGAAAAAAAAAACGACGTTTACAAATCAAAATCTCTTCCTCATTTGATACGTATAAGAGATTCCGGTGTGGGTTGCAGTACCGGAAGTTATTCCGGCGTGGAACAAGAAGAACACGACATCGATATTGGAAGTATTAAAATCGGAAATTATCAAAAAGTATACGATTTGCGACAATTTTTAACACTTCGACAGCATTACTATCCGGAAGGCGGTTGGGGTTGGGTTATTGTTTTTTGCGCTTTTCTCGTACAATGTTTAACTCATGGAATACACGGAGCCTCTGGAATTATAATGCAACAGGTTATACGTAGATTTAATCACGTTACTCATCACGAAGCAGGTACGTAATCGTCCGATAAAAAAAAAATTTTTTTTTTTTTTTTTTCAAATGAATGAATCAAGTAGCAAAGGAAATAAAAAATAAAAAAACGAGTGAATTAATTAATTAATTAATTAATAAACCTCGTTTATTTATTTATTTCAAAAATAATAATAAAATTTTAAACTTTTTCCATACATTCAAGTTTTACAAGAAATAAAAACGTTTCAAAAAAAAAAAAAATGTCGTTAAAACATGGAGTAAAAAAAAAAAAATTATAATATGGATTCGGGTCAAATCAGTATCAAATTATTATTATTATTACAACAATTCATCAATTATAAAATGGGCGTGATTAAAAAATATGTTTTTTATCTTTTCTAAACTATAATATTTCATCAGAGCATCGTCATTTTCTTTCTTTTTCGTTAAATGTTAGGAAAATTGCAAATGACGCGTAACACGTAACGGTTTTAACATGATTTAAATAATGGCGTCTACTTATCATGTATTTACAAA